GGAAAACAGCTAAACATGAGAGGTTTTTGGACAAAGTTTGTGTTTTTTCCATTGTTTAAGCACTGCTTCCAGCCAAGAGTGATACCATATATGCCCTATAGCTGCAGAAAAGGCTAACATTGTTATCTTTTTACAAAAAAACAGCTAAACATAAGAGGTTTTTGGACCAATTTTGTGTTCTCCATTCTTTAAGCACCGGTTCGAGCACCGGTTCGAGCACCGTTTAAGCACCGGTACCGTTTCAAAAGTACCGGTTTGGCACCGGTATCGGATAAAACCTAAACGATACCCATCCCTAGTTGCCACCACATAATGCAGTTTTTGTAGGTCAAAGTCATTGAGTGTATTTCTGTAGGATCAAGTTGCAGTTTTATTCATAATCAGCACTTTTGATAAAGTGCTTTCTGTATCATTTCTGTGGCTTTGTAAAAAAATTGGTACAGATTTTTAGACCATAATGTGGTGAAGAGTGGAACATTTTCTGGGGGACAGAGTGGACACAGAGTGGCTCACCTGCGACAAACAATTATGACGACAGTGATGGCAATAATAAAGACAACCCCTGCAGCAGATGAACCAATAATGAGGGGGAGCTTCTCTTGAATAATGGAGTTATATTCTTCTACAGGTGAAAAGACAACAAACCACAAAAATGTCAGTAATTTTTATATTTAGACTTATATATTAGGCAGCACACAGGGTATGAAATAAGTCTGAATTTAGTTTGTCAGCAAATCTGATTCCTACCTTCAGTCATGGTTTGGAAGTACATTTTACCACTGAAGCGTCCAAATCCAGCGACAGTCCGAGCCCGGACCTGAAACACGTATATGGTTCCAGGCCTTAAACCTCGTATGACAGCAGTGTTGGTCTGACTCCTCGTTAGAGATGAGTTCCATTCTGCTTGGTTCTGAATAACACACACCAAAGACTTTAAATCAGGCAGATCTGTCTATAATTAAAACTGTAAGATTTTTGAGTACAATTTAAGAGTCAAAATGTTTCAGGTTCAGATGCCTTGAGGTGACTGCTTTTGCAAATTGGTGCTATATAAATAAAACTGAATTGAAATTAATTCAATCAGTTGGCACTGATGTACCTTCTCATAATACTGCAGTTCATAGTCCAGAATAACACCATTGGGCTGATCTGGCTGGGACCAGGACAGAGTGATGCTGTTAGGAGTTCTGCTAACCTGGTGGATGATGGACACTATTGATGGTGCTGAGAAAAAAACAAAGAGATCTGAAGGGTGTAGAAAACATGCTAACAGACATTCGAGCTACTAAAACAGAAGTTAATACTGAAATCACTGAAATATCACTAGAGTAACATCATGCCTCACCAGCCTGGTTGGTGGTGATGTTGACAGACGTGTACTGTGGTGAATAAGGACTCTGATCAGACACTCCATTGACAGCTTGTATTTCAAATGTGTACTGCGTGTGAGCCATGAGGTCGCTGATATGTACTCGGGTGTTGGTGAGTCCCAGCTGACGTGGGATAAACTGCACGTTGTCACCACAGCGGGTGCAGCCGCTGCGACCGCTGCCACAACTCTTACATATGATGTTGTAAACTACATCTTCTCGGCCACCACTCTCCTTTGGTGGACTCCACTCCAGTATCAGAGAAGTCTCATTTACTATGGAGATGACATTTTGTGGTGCAGATGGAACAGCTAGAAGACAAAGGGAAAACAGAAAATTATGCTAATAGTAATTACTGCCTGTTATAAGTTGTTTTGTTTTTTTTTATTCTCAAGCTTGCACCTCACTAGCTAAGGATTGCAAGCTCTAGAGGTTTAGTACAGAGACTACATGTAAGAACATCAAGCAATAGAACATCTGTTTGTTCCGATAACCAGATTCCCACTTAGTGTATTTGCATTATCTGGAAAAAACAACAACCCAATTATCTACATGATGATAATGGAAACAAAGTATATTTTTTAAACGTATTACATGTCTTGTGATTGCAAAATAAATAAAAATTAAATACAATTAAAAATCTTCATTTTTGAATCTTCAATTCAAGGGGATCAATGTAGACTCTGGCAGAACATTCAATCAGTTATGCTCCTGCAGGTTGTTACAAAATTGATTGCAGTATCATTGGATGGGGGGAGGGTCTACCCTTCCTATCTTGCCCAAATTCTGTTTGTGTTTGCCCTGGTCTATTGGATGGTGGCGTCAGTACTGCATCTTTTTCCGGAGGGTTTTTTGGGGGTGGGGTGTATTTATAGGTTATATAATTATAATATAATATTCATAACTTGTAATGACACAAAATTACACACAGGTGAACTTGATTATCAAATTAGGTGATTTCTGAAGCCAACTGATTGCATTGGATTTTATTTAGGGGCATCAGAGTACAGGGGGCTAAATACAAATGCATGCCATACTTTTCAATTTGTTTAAAATTTTGAAAACCACGTATCGTTTTAATACCACTTCACAATTATGTACTACTTTGTGTTGTCACAGAGAACCCCCATTTCAATTCAATTTTATTTTATTTATATAGCACCAAATCACAACACCAGTTGCCTCAAGGCGCTTTATATTGTAAGGTATAGAACTGCTTTGAAATTCATATGAGCTGTTCGCACTAAAGTAAAAAGCACCATCACTTCATGC